CTTATGTAATTGAGTCGGATCATATTTTATTTGATGCTCGTATGAGCGACCCGTATCCTACCCTTTTCGTTTTAATCTATGTCTACCTACCTACACTTATAATTTGTTTACTTTTCTTGTTTACATAGGTAGGGATTGGTAACTCTCGTGAGAAATAATTAGTAGGTCACGTGAATCTGTGTATGACTTTATTAACGTATAGAATAACACACGAGCTCTGCTTTTAATAAACAAGTAATATAAGAATGTTCCAAACACATATTCCTTTGAGTACATTTTAAGTTAACAAGCTCCCATACGATAGCACGAAACTTGACTCGCACTTGACCGTTTTTATAAATATCCTTACAAAAACGTCTCCACCCCATATGATGCTGATCCTTATAATAACATACAAGGTCACGAAAAATCAATCCACTAGTTTACTAAAAGATAGCTTGTCCAATTACTTGTAAACCTTAATTCTGTGTATGACTCTGTTAACGTATGGAAAACACACGAGCTTTGCTTAAAATAATGTTCCAAATACCTATTTCTTTGGGTACTTTTGAAGTGAAACTTCTTTACGCACGCTTGACTTGGAGGGTAAGCTGGTAAATGCGTTACGAAAAGTGTGTTCGGGCGAGGCGGACGGGAGTTGAGTGGGGGATATATGCAAAAGAAAGCAGTGCGTGCGCACATTTTCTTTCTCTCTTTCTCTTATAGGTAGTAAATGAAATATCTATATGTACATACAAGTATATATTGTACACATATATATATATACAGATGGAGCTAAAGAAGATTCACTTCAGTTGTGTGGTCATAAGCATACTCGTTTTTTAATGTTAAAAGGATTGTAAACAAGCGTATATCCCGCCCGATGGTAAGCGGCCTTATCATTGAGGAGCTCGATGGCGCAGGTGGTTAGCGCGTTCGGCTGCAATCGTTGAAGTTAAGCAACTTTCGTAGTGGTCGGTCATTGGATGGGTGACCAAAAATCTTCTATCTCGAGTTCCTCCGTGCTTTGTTATTCTTCATTCTTCTTCTTCTACTGCCTTTCCAAACAGCGAAGGTTGGCAGTCAGCTTAGCATACGTCTCCTTATCCTTAGCGAGATGGAATAATTCAGTGGCACTTGGCGCGTTCCATCCATAGGGAAGGCCTATGCCCCAGCAGTGGAGACATTAATAGGCTGATGCTGGTAAGCGACCACCATAGACTCTTGCATCACTCGCACAGTTGCCTACCCCTACCGCGTGGAGCCCTGGACCTCACCGATATAAACACAACACCTTTCTGCAGGCCGGCAAGGTGAGTATGGTTGGTTTAGAATTTTATAACTGCTGTACCAGCTACCTTCGCGTTTGGACTTATCACCACTTTACATCAGGTGGGGTAGAGTCAACGCGTAAGAATACCTACATGGGGATCCCGCGGCTTCGCAATAACTAGCTTGGAGGGTATTCGCAGGGTTTTTTAGTGGATAGTACGCCGTTAAGCGTGCTCGTAAATGGCGCGGGTTACTTTGGCGGTTAGCCCCATCGTGCCGGTGACGTTTGCGGGTACAGGGTGTGAGGTCCGTGTGATGGCAGCCCCCTCCTATAGTTCTGTCCTACGAGAGGGAGCGTCGGGAGGACCTGCGATGAGCACGCCCAGGCAATCCCCCACAGTGGACGGGGAGCGGTGTGGTGGGCACTACTAACTCCCAGCGCGGGCCCACCCGCGCACGTCTGCGAGGTCCTCGCGGGATACCCCGGGAGACCCCTGCCGTGGAGCCCCGCCTAGTCCGGGAGGCTGCTAGGGAAACGCTGAAGAATCCCTAAACGTGGATCCCGTGGCTTCGCACTAAGCAGCTTAGAGGGTATTCGCAGGATTTTTGTTTGGCGGATATTATGCCGTAAAGCACCCGTAAATTTACGGGGTCCTCAGTGGGTAGTCACTGCGGGGGCCCGTAAAGCTTGCGGAAGCCAGGTGTAAGGTCCGTTCGGCGGTGTGCCTCTTAAAGGCGCCGTCGTCTATAAACAGAGGTTTTGCCTGCGTTACAAAAAGAAGAAAAGGTGGGGTAGAGTCATTTGCTTACCAGGCTATATTTAAAAAAAAAATTAGTTACTTTAATGTACGGTAAGGTAAGGTGGAGGCTTCCCTAGGTAGGCGCTCCAATTCGAGCGGCAAATCTGCTATGCCTACCTCTCTTGGTAGGGGTGTTTCTACTAAATTGTTATGATTAAATCGTGTCCTTAGTGCGTTTAATCTGACCTCGATTAGTTAGGACAGCCACTATCCCTTTTAGATATCCGTACCCGAAGAGATAATGGATTATAACATAACCTCCTCCTCTATACTACTAAACAAAGCGGCAACCTCATGTTATTTCCTAACCTCATGATTGTTCTGAACACAAAATATCGAATCAGGATTCGGTCATGTATGTCGCCTTGGGCAGGCGCGGTTCGAAGGGGGGGGGGGTCACAGGGGACATGACCCCCCCCCCCCAAAATCTAAGGTCAAATTGAAAAATCTCAAAAAATTGCCAAATAATAAAAGGAAATTTCTGGTTATCCCCTAACAGCGATAAATTTATAGTTTGCTGACATTTAGTGGTATTTTTTGAACTACGTAACTACGATGGCCAAAATAACTTGGAAATGACATCTAGTACTACTATGTATTATATCATCGAAGTTTGTAATGATGATTTATATCCAAATATAAAGACATTTCTCAAAATCTGGTAACTCTTCCCATAAGTTGTACCTATTTTTTATTAGTGTAGTGAGTGACCCCCTCCAAAATTTCACGCTGCGACCGCGCCTGGCCTTGGACAATTGCTTTCATTTACATATTCATCCCTTCCGAGTTCTTTATTTTTCTTTCAGTCTCAATCCAGTATAGACATTGTAATTACCTATAACAACGTGACGTCTCAATGTCGTCATTTGCGTTGTAACTGTTTAATCGACCGTGACGCATGTAGACCCAATGTCATTCCGATACTCAATAATGCTATTCTGATTAATAAGCAAAGGAATTGTTAAATTTTATATTATACTTTTTCAGGGGTCTGTATTCGATTTGTATCAATGGGTGACGAAGGAACGTAATATTCTATTATAAGCCTCCTCTAACCGCCTGTTAATCTTTTTGCCTTCCGTCTAGCTGTATCCTATGAATCTATAGATAAAGACAATAGTTTTTCCATCACAAAATATGGATTTAAATGTTAAAATTATGTATAATATATAAGAGATAGGGAGGGGCAAGAAATCAAATTTTGAAGAGATTTTGCTTACCAAGGTGGTAAGCAAAATCAGTGTATTTCAAATATTATCACAACAGTTTTCCACTCAATTAGAGCAACCTTACGGGGAAGTAACGTTATTGGAAACTGCATTGATATAAAACTAGCTTTTGGAATAAAATTATTCAACATTTAAACATTGTGCTGGTTTTTATAAGTGTAGGAAAGCCAACTTGACTTAAATGTTGGCCACCGAATTTCATTTGCGCGATGTAGGCTTCCATTCCATTTGAGTGCAGCGCCGTTAGCGCAATCTCTTGAAGAGGCGAGTGATTAAATCCTCTTTGTTGGTTATATATGTAGCATGTAGAAGTCGCCGCCACATAAGCATGCTTATCGTTAACACTTTAAAAAACATTTTATTAAAAAAGGTAACTCGCAAGTGATACTATGGTATTCATAGTATATGTTTGATTCCAGCCTCTAGAGCCTGCGCTGCGTTAAACGGAAGCATAATGCGGACGCCAACTCCACGTGCGGTTTCATGTTATTTCATAGAGCGCTGCGTGAGGCGGGTCTCCCGGTGCATACGGCGGAAGCAATGGAGCCTGCCCAGCGGGCAACGGGGCATGTTCGATTAGCTGTCTTGATATATTGTATTATTGACTGTTCACATGCGTGATCGATGTTGTACTGGCAGAGCTGCGAGAGGCGGGATCCCGTCGCGATTCCCGTGATGGAGCGCGCAGAGAGTCTCTGCGATGGACGTCAGCTCCGTGCCCCCACTTTACACAGAGCAGGTTCTTATAGCAAGAAATTTTAGGGCAGTTTTCCGCCGGGTCGAGGCACGGTTTCTACCCGAGCCGGTGCTAGCTAAGCTTGTTCCGGTATCGTTAACAAACGTCCACGTATACCTAACTGACTACCGACGAAGATACGGTTTAAAACCGTGCCTAAACCTTATTGAGTAGAAATTGTCTCGGTAACAAGCACCCTTACAATACCGTATAACTTGACTCGCACTTGGCCGTTTTTATAAATATGCTAACAAAAATGTCTCCACCCTACATGACGTTGATCCTTATATTAACATACAAGGTCATGAAAAAATCAAACCACTAGTTTAATAAAAAAAAATAGCTTTTCATGTACTTGTAAACCTTAATGCGATGTTTTCGTCAAAGCTGAGTTTCATCCTGACATGCATTTATTTCAGAGACAAATATTTGATCGAGATACTTAATGATCTTTATCACATTTATGTCTTGTTTACGTTTATTAAATAATCTGCTTAGTTTTGTAGTACAGAAATATTTTCTTTCTATACAATACTGAATAAATAATGTAGCTCTTAATAAACGCAGAATGATAAGATGAAAACGGAAAAAACATTGCGTTATTCTTCTTTTTTTAATATGAGTCTCAGATTATGGAAGCTGTACGGATGCATAGTATTTATATATAAGAGCTTTGTAATTTTACTTGTCTTAAAGATACAAAACTATTTTAAACTGTCAAGTTTGTCACAAAATCACAAAAATGTTACGACTCACAATAACAGTCATTATCTCTCAGTTAAAGTACAAACTAAACACTCCTCGTTAAAAGAGTAAGAACAGAAACAGATCTCTTTTCAGGTTAAGCTTCTCGTGGTTTCTGTATAGCCGAACAAACAGCCTGCTGAAAGCTTTTCCACGCTGTGAATACAGCCTTAGATAACACAACAGGTGCGGGCCTGAACACCATTCGGCGGCAATCGCCGTGGCTGCCGCACGTACCCACCGACGTATTCCGAAAATCGAACGCCAAAACTTTTTCTCATACTAAAACTCCTTCGAAGGTAACGGGCTAGCGAGCGCGATCAGTGCTTTTTTTTTTAAATAAAACGACGCTGTGTCTGTGGTCTATTAGCTTTTCAGCCAGTGATAAATCGAGTCAGAATTTATTGCGATACAGCTGAACTGAATCGGAGCGTGCTTTTGTGAATTAATCTTAATTGAAATTGGACAGATTAAAGAAGGTATGATTGCTTTTGTCGTAGCTGTAGTTAGTAGTGAGAATTTTTAAATTTTAGGTGTATCAATAAGCTCTGTCATTGAACGAGTCCTTTACATAAATAATTCATTAACGGTTATAGTTGCAGGCAATGAAAATTATGCATGCAGCTCTATAAAAGGGTGATTTATCGATTAAAAATTACTTTTTCGATAAAAAATATTGTCTAAAAATTCGTCTTTACGATTTCTTACTAACTTTATTATTATAACTCCAAAGTGAATCTGTTTGTCTGTCACCAGGCAGTATCTCATGAACCGTGATAGCTAGAGAAGTAAAATTTTCACAGATGATTGAACAAAAAATACTAAAAACAGAAATCCTATTCAACAACGTGATTTTTTTGCCGTTCTTTGCTTGATAATATTAACGGCGACGTTTGAAATCTTCCACAATAATCATTGAGTTGTATATTGAATTAAAAAAATATATTAATTAAATACAATTTGTATTTAAGGGAACCCCAATAAAACAGAAGTGTTATGTTTTTATTTATTTTTTTAAAACAGAAGTGATTTAGTATCTAAAATAAATAATTTGATTTTTAAATAGATGATTTCAAAAATAGATATTCTCTTTGGGGTGGCGGCAATGTAGTGATATTTTATTAATTTTAAAAATCAAAACTCCTTGAATCCTAGTGAGTTTGTAGTACACAAGGGTTGCGAATGTGTTTTGTAGTTAGGGACAAAAATAGCCCAAAAATTACCTTTTCCACTAAATAATTGAAGTGGATATTCCTGATTCTAATCTCGAACTTCGGTAAGTAATCCCAGTGGAACCTTTCAACGGAGCAATATGTATCCTACGAGTTAATCCGGTACTATCTACTCCCCTTTTATAATATATTTACTCAAACAGGCGATTGAGTTACAAACTACCTAGGTAGTAAATATTCATACACACGCCTTTATATTAAGTAACAAAATTTTTGATAATTGATTTTTTTATTGTGTGTACTTATGTTTGACTGGGAAATGGTGGGAGAACAAATTGTTGGATTCAAACTAATTGTTAAGATTTTTAATTCCAACTGACATGAAAATAAAAATTACTCTCTCCAGGATTTTAACGGGATTTTTTTTCTGTTGATGTACATCTAGCAGTACTTATAACATAAACATAAATATCTAGAAATTACTTGATAAAAATAAGTTTGTTAAAACAACATTAAAAGAGTTGAGAAATCATGTACGCTTTGTTCGAGTTTTCATCGATGCTATTTAGCTCATATGAATGTATATTTCGGAACGTAACTACAGATTAATCTATACGCCTTTCCGGTAACATGTGTAATTACCACAACATTGTTACAATAATCTTTAACCATTTCGGTATTTTCACAGACATAGCACTCTATCGAAATATATCGATCAGACTGTAATAAATTATAATACATTTATAAAGCTGGTTTAAATATAATAAAAAGTGTTCTCTCGGAGTGTTTATTTCATAAGACAACTTTACCAGATCAATTCGACGCCGTCCAGTAGGTCTATTCGCTTACTGCTTTTGACAGATGGAAATGACAATCACCGAGCTATTTAGTGGTCCACTACTGTTTTATTATAAAAAAAAACCTTTAGTTGTAACCTGAAATTAAAAAAAAAAGTAGTTTTAACGGGTTGCACGAACTTTATTTATTTATTGACGTTTCGCAGACTTTTCAGATCTGCAACGTCCGAATAATGATTTTTTATTTACTTTGTCGAGCTACCTTCGAAAGACTGTTATTGAGCGTTCGGATTTTTCATTGGAAGATTTTTAAAACTTTATTGTCTTTATATGAATTTATTAGTTAATTTAGTTAATAAAGTACTTTATTTAAAATTATTTTTTGTAATTTTGAGTTTATTTATTTGACCCTAACTACCGTCAACTACCACCGGTTCCAAATTGGAAGACCTTTCTGAGAAGAACCGGCGAAACATACTCAGAGAGGCTTTCTATCTCCTTCTAATGTTAAATCATGCAAACAAAAAGAACTAATAGTAGGTATCTATTGGTCTTGCTGCGTGTGCTTCGAACCGATCTAAAAATAATTTAATATTGATTGATTTTTAATGTTTGCGAGTTGGGTTCACTAAATTGGCACAATGAACATTGCATCACACGTAACGTATTATTTCACATACGCGTGAAATAATACTTACAATTTATTAATATACTTAATAACTTAGTACCTATGTGGAAAAGTTTTCAGGGCAATGTATAGGTATATTTTTCGTTATCAATTTCACTTATAGAATCATCTATCATAAGAATAAAGCATTAGTACATTAAAAGCTTTTTATTTATATTAATTTGTTTTTTAGCTGTCACGTATTTTTAATATACCTACCAAATTCATTTATCAGCAATCATTTTCTGAATGAAAATACTTCGCCAATGCGTAATGAGAATTTTGATACTATGTCATTCATTTTTAATTTATGCCCTTTTGGCACATAAAAAACAAGAAATAACCAAAGAAATGTTTGAGAAATAAATTTTCACTTTTTCAATATCATTTACGATTCTATAAAGGTAGAAACGTTTGAAAATCGAATGCGGCAGTTAAACATTAATTCTATTTTCAAATCAATCATCTTTTATTCATATTATTTTTCGAACATTTGATGAATGAAGTAACATTAATGAAAAAATTGCCCGGAGAATTTGTGATCGATATTCAAACAGGGCTTATAAGAATAATGGCGGGGCAATTAAACGTAGCTATTTCCTGCTAATGTTAAAGCTATTAAATTAAGCTATAATGAGTTTTATTTAACTGGGTTTTCTTTTCGCAAAGTAAGAAGAGGCTTCATTTCAAATTATATTTGGTCATGTAGGTTCATGTATGATTCATGTACTTATTCAAACTATGGCATGAAAAAATTGTACAAAGTTTTCGTTAAATCTTTGGTCAAATAGGAAATTTCAATAATGATATCAGTGAATGCACCGGCCCGCCCTTATTTTATTAGGCCCGAGAAGTCCAATTCGGGAAAAAAACTTAAGTTTGCGGTTTTCAAAAGACGAGGGTACTCCAATAATTCCTTAACAAAAAAAAAACCCTCTGTGAAGATTATTCACGTAAAAGACCTCGTTAAGTCTGCGTTAATACCGAGCTTTTGATTAATTAATTCTGCTACAAGAATATTAAAAGTGTTTTACCGAAACTTTCTAAATTATTTTGTTTTGAGCTTCTCTCTTTAACAAGTATGCTGATTACTTAGAATTTTGTGTAATTATTTAATTATCAACAGCTTTTCGTAAATAGGAGTTAGTTAAGTTATTCTTCAAGTTAGAATAACACAAGTGGTAAAATAAGTTACTTATTGTGTAACTAACACCAGTGTTTTATCGTGACAATAAGTAAAACTGAACCGAGTTGCTTACGGCTATTATGAGAGTAAAAGAGTTATAATTATATTGGGTATTAATAATTACATAATAGAAGTATACTCGTATGTGACGGTTCGGTTAGCTATACCTAGTCAGGTCATAAGTCACATGTTTAATATAATTGAAACAAGTTTATTCATTATGTAACCATATATATACCAAAATGAATTTAACAAAACATAGATTATTATGACAATAAAGTTTATTCAAAATGACCTCCGTGATTTTGAATACAGGCCTTCAATCTGCGCGGCCAGCAGTCAATCGCAGCACGAACGAGGTCCATGTCTTAAGTGACTCCAAATTGGGATGAGGATTTGAGCACGCCTTTTCCTCCAAGTGTTGCCATATTTTGTAATCTAACGGACTCAAATCTGGACTGGAGGAGGGCCAGTCTTCGTGCCGGATGAAGTTGATTTCACGCGCCGCCAGCCAGTCTTGTGTGCTCTTCGCTCTATGAGCTGGCGCCGAATCTTGTTGGAATACCCAGTGCCTGTTATTGAACATGATATGAGAAACAGGTTCCACAAGGTTCGTCAGGACTGTATTTTGATACACAACTGCATTCGTTTTTACACCTTTCTCACAAAAATGTACCTCTGTTAAGTATCATAATGGAAAGTCCGAATAAGAAACTCCCAACCATACCATGAGCGAGGATAGAAAATGAACTCGTTGGACACGCGGAATACGGTTCCTCGCTTCTTCACTACTGTGTGCGTACACCTTATCATTTTGTTTGTTGTAGCTCTCTTCTACGGTAAAATTTTTTTCATCCGAAAAATGAATTCCCCGATATTTTTTTTCCCGCGTACCGCTTGAACAAAGCGCAGCATAAGAGAAAGTCTCAGGTCCATTAGACGAGCATTCAAAGGATGTCCTGTTTATCTTCGATATGCCCGAAGCCCTAAGTCTTCATTTAACACCCTTTTCACCGTGGTTCTGCTTAACCCCATCTGAAAGGCCAACAGTTTCTGCTTACGTTTGCGATTTCTTCGAATTCGCGCCTTCACAGCTTTTATCACTGCTTAACAGACCGAGGGCGACCACTTCTTGACCTGTCATCTATACTAGAGTCTTCATTGTATCGTTTGATGGTACGATAAACGAATCTTTTGGTTATATTCAAAATTTTCAGTATGTCAAAAATTTGAATAGGCGCGTTACCGCAACGATGCAACGCAATAACTGCAACACAGTCTCCTTAAGCGTCCACTCCATATTTAAAAATGAGTAAAATTCTAAAAAGAATACATTTTTATTTTCATGAACAATTCGAAATTCGAATTCAATAAACTTTTTTGTGGCCAGCATTCTAAAAGAAAAGTTTTTACTGTGTGACAATATTATGACCTGACTGTGTATAAATAAGGTAGGTATCATCACCATCAGCCTATGAATGCCCCCACTCTTAGAGCACAGGCCTCTTTTATGGACGGAATAGGCAAAATGTGAATGACCCCACCACGCGAGATCAATATGGATTGTTAGGTGTTACCAAACACAAATGCAGCTGAAACTTACGGATTATAGTCATAGCAGACATATCAACTCTGTGGGCTAGCTTACGTCTCTCCG